ACTATAATTAAATAGTATTTTAAAATACTATAATGAGCTAATAAGAAATGATTTTAAAGCCAGAGGTAATGAGTTAAGATTGGGATTGCGAAGGGCTCTTATTTCTAAATGAGTTCTCATTTTAACAAAAGTCACAGAACTCAGGAATTATTCTGATCCTAAGGAAGTGAGTATTTTCAGACCAGGAAACAAGTATCTATCGATTACTTAATAATTCACTACAAGGAGGCTGCAAAGTGTTTGGAATCCCCAGGAATGAGAACAAAGAGGATTAATGTACCCCACTTCTTACCTGTCATTCACCAAAAACCACCACCACTACTCACCCCTTGTTCTCCCCCACCCTCCAATAAAGGTCAGGGTTCTCCCTTTTTGGTTAGAGTCAGAGATTGGATGGTTGGAAAATATTTCCACCAAAGAAGCCTAGATGATGTTTAAAGGTCCCTTCTAGCCATAATACTCTGTAACTCTGGGCAAGGAAAGATCTGATGATGAATGAAAGGATAAAATCTTAGCTGGCAATTCTTAGTGCAGAGTGTGGCTTGAAGATGAACTTTTGAGAGTGCCTAACTAGAAATCATGTGAACAGTTTTCTTTTCTGTTTTTGTACAGACTAGGTTATAAGTAGATTCTTCTACTAGAACATAAAATTAGCTCCATTAGACTAAACCCTTCTTTTACCAAGTTTATACTACAGATAATTCTAATATGAGAATCACAACAAAGAAGAATGGCATCAATGACACTCTTTTTGTGCTAACAAGCTACACCTACTTCTGGTGTTAACATTAATAAATGCTTAAGCATATACTTAAAAAGTATAAATAGCAAGCATTAGTGTGTTGTGGCAATACTGGCCCAGGAGAAGCAGAAAGTGATGATTGGCACAAATAAACCAATATTGTTTCCAGATATAAAACTCACTAAACCATAAATCTACAATCTTGTGTATATGTAACCCAAAACTGAGCTTAGTTTTTATACCACCACTTCTGAATCATGTGGATATCGTGTTACAAAAGATGTATTTAGATTTAGTAATAACTTAAAGCATCTATACTAGGACATTTTGGGTTATTTCACTTAGAATTAGAGAATCTTAGAACTGGGTATAAAAGGATTTAAGTCCCAATTTTGCTATTGTTTTGATGACTCACTTATCACAGATTGAGTAAAAACAGATGTAGGCTATTGTATAAAGGCAAACACAGATTTTTACATTTAAAAATTTCTGTTATTCTATTTCTTAAGTTATTGTTGAGACAACAGGAGATAATGTTTGATGTATATTTTAAAATAAACTAGTATTAACTTAAATATACATTAACCTAATAAGTAAATATAAATATACAGACATATATATATGGTCAAAGGGTTCTAAAGATACCCAAACCTTGAAAGATTATTGGGCACTCAGTTATGTGACTGCTGCCATCATGTGGTAATACTATAAAACTACAGGAATAAATGCGTGTGTTCATTTTCCCAATTTTTTTATTATGTTAATAGTAGAAGCAGCTAAACTACTATCATCTTAGCTATAACATAACATATTCAATAAACAGGAGAATGCCAAAAGATCTATAAATAACAAGTAATTATTAGGTCCCCATCTTTGGCCTCACTCAGACTGTAGTTTTCCCTAAATGTTGTCAAAAATATGCACACAATTTACATTGCTATTTCACTATTTTAGTAATCTGAAGAACACCTTTTTGCAAATCTAGTAAGTGACTAAGGAAACAAATGCCTAAAGTTTTCCTGACTTTAAGTGACCACATGAAAAAATAAAGAGATCTCTAAATGCCCTTATCAATTTTGACTACAATTAATCACTTCAATTTCTAAATTACTTTTCTTGGTGTTTCTTGTAAATGAGGTCTGATTTTAGTTCTGGAAAGTACAACAGCAGAGACAGCATGAGATTTTTAAATCAAAAGGAACTCAGATCAAATTACTACTCTGACACTAGAGTTGTAAAACTGAACAAGTCAATGAACCCCTTCTTCAGTCCCAAGTGTGCTTGAGTGTAAAAGTGAGATCCTACCACCTCTCACAAGGTTGCTAAGAGGATCCAACTAAATCATGCCTAGCACAGCATCAGGCATATTAATCTCACAAATACTAGCTTCCATCCCTTTCATTTCAGAGAGATAGTCAAAGTGAACTAGAATACAAACTCCTGGAGGGCAGGGAGAGCATCAAACTCATTTTAGCACTAAATTCCAGCTCAATAAATGGTTGAATTAATGCATTTCATTATAACTGCTTGAAAAAATTCTTTTACTCCCCACCACAATCACGACCTTCATGTTTTTTTTAAACAAACTGGAAGATACATATTCCTAGATTATCAGAGAACCATATACTTCAATATGCATGTCAACTATAGATTTATATGAGTAGGCCTAGCTCACTTATGCTACTGAAAGTATGGGCTGCAGATGTGAAGCATCGACAGCACCTGTTAAGATGCTGAATCTCAGGCCACACTCCAGACCTACTGAAGCAGAATCTACATTTTAATAAGATCTCCAGATGATTCATGGGCACACCAGAGACTGAGAAACACTGATTTAAAGATCTCAGGATGGCTTATCCAAAGATTCCTACACCTGCTGTTCTATGAAATGGTGTCTTCTGACTCAAATAATTATTTATGGAATAAATAATTAATAGAATATGTTGGTGTGAGTTAGTCTGTCAAAATTTTTCCAAGAACTATCTGAAAGCAGATTATGAGGTGAGGAAGGGCAAGGAGAAAATAGGAGAAATTGGGACATGGGAGGCAGGCCTCAGCCAATGGTCACCCAAGGCAGCAGGTGTTAGGAGGAAGGAGCACAAATGGGTAGACACTAAAAAATGAGATGGAAGGGGACTTAACTGGTTTATTCATTTGACAAATAAAACTAAACACCTATTATGCTAGGCAGAACTCAAAATGAATAAAATCAACATTGCCTGGCATTCAGCTTATTGACCGAAATGTAATATCCTATTTCACTACACAGATCTGATAATTATCAAAGTAAAAATGTACACAATGTGTTATGAGAGCCAAAAATAAAGCATCTATCTGGAAGGGTCAGCAAAAACTTCACAGGGAGTGTCAGAACTATTAAAGGATGAATTCACCAGGAGGAAAAGGAAAGGGACAATTCTGGCAGAGAGAAAAGCTTATACAGAGTGATGGTGTCATGAAACAGTTTAGTGTGTCTGAGAGGAACTATAAGACTTGGCATGGATGGAGAGCAGGATACATGTAAGGAAAAGGCCAAGGTTAAGTGGCAAAGGAACAAGAACACAAAAGTCTTTGTTCACCATGCTGAGAATCCAAAGTTTTTTCTTTATGGTAATGGGAGAAAAAAATCAATGAAAGACCTAAAACTATGAGGGAGAGAACCAGATTTGCATTTTAGAAAGATGACCCCAAAAGAGCTTTAAAGGAGTGCTGTGGCAGTGCGATCAGTCTGACAAATAAAACTAAATGCCTGTTATGCTAGGCAGAACTCAAAATGAATAAAATCATCACTGCCTGGCTACTGCAATAGGCCAAGTAAAAACTGAAGGCGATTTGTACCAAGGTATCGTCAGGGACAATATGGCAGTGGGACAGACAGGAGAGGTACTTAAACAGAACTGACAATACCTAATAATAACCAGTAATCTCAATTACCTTCTCTTTATTATGAAACCTTTATTCAAGTTCTATTTTTTATCATGTCTTCATATTATGATTTCTCCTTCAACCTATCCATCCATAAATGCCAAGGAAATCTTTCTGAAACACAATTCTGATCACGCCACTCCCTCAAACTTAAACCTAC